TAATTGGGAAATTAAAAGTTAGAATGGAAAAAAATTCAATGAAGAACCGGAAAAATTATAGATTGAGATGGTTGAATTACTTGAAACCAGACATCAGACGAGGAAATCTAACTCCACTCCAAATGGGGTAATAAGTATCGCTACAATCGATCGTATCATCGTATTTTTCTTTAAAAATTCCGGACCTTTGACTCTATTATATAAAGGACTCAGAAACAAGCTCGCAAGCTCAATGTAGAAACTTATAGCAACAAGTTCTTTGACATTGTTCGTAGTTTTTGGGTCCCTAGCTAGATTGATCGACTTCAGGCTTCAATCAAATAAATGTTTTTTTTAAATAAAAAAAAGGGAGTTTCAGCTCATATTTGGTTTGGATATAGAATTAAACATTGCTATTTTTGTCCATGTTAAAACTCAATTCAGTTTTTTGATATGATTGTTTTGGTTTGGTTTCGAAGTGGTTCAAGTTCTGGTTGTTCAAAAGTGAACCTCAAAACGAATGCTAGCATGATCTTGTACGATGATTTCAAAATTATTCATTTAGAGATCCGATCAACCCCAAAACACATCCTTCCTAATCGCGTTTAAATAATAAAAAGCTAAAGATTAGAATATAGTCTCGTGACGTGCTGGATGTTCTCTTCACATGATTAGAGCAAATGACTTTAATTAACTCACAGAAACTGTCTCTCATTTATTATCTTTAATGGTCTCGTCAGGCTCGAGCAATCATACACAGATATATGGAAAGTAGAATTGATCCAAAGATTGGTTTAAAATTCAAAATTCGATACCTTTATATCAAAGTTCATATCTTAATTTGTATATACAAATTATTTCTCATCATTCGGTGGATTTAAACCTGCTTTGATGTTTAGAATCAGAAAACATCCATTGATGATTAGTTTATTTTTCTTACTATGTGGTTGATTTGGGGGGGGTTAATATTTTTAGAGAAATTTAAAGAAATGCCATTTTTCAATTGCCACTTTACAAAAATGCTACACTTTTAAAATCTTTACAAAAATGTCACTTTTTCAAAATTATTTTTTTTATATTATTTATGTTTGGGTTAAATATATTCTA